GCAGATACGTAGGAAGAGAGATCATTATCTATATCTTTGCTGACTTGTTCATCTTCAAGCGCGGTAATATTTATGTCACCTAAAATAAAAGAATAACAGTAACAATAGGTATGACAGAACTAAAAGATACTATATACACAATAGGCAATCTATTGGCCTAGTACTTAAGTAAGAACTGAGAGAATTCAGGGTGAAGAAACTCATGTTTGTCCTAGTGACCACAGATTTCAAAAGATGTTGGCACGACAGTGTAGATGTCAAACTTCCAGAGGACCATGTATTGCTCCATTTTACTATTGCAGGGCAAAAAGTTCAAATTTGATCTTTTGATGCAGTTTTATTGAAATAGTAATATATTTTCTTAAGTTATAGGAACCATACGGTATGGTCTAGAATAACACCAAAAAAAGACTTTGGTTTTTAAAAAAGTATTAAAATATTTCAAGTATATGACAAAAAATTTGAAAGGGTGAACAATGAACAAAAACTCCTTCCTATATATGAGTAGAAACGTTTTAAAAGCTTCAAAAGCTAGGCCCTCTCTGTTGGCACAGCGGGTTAAAGCACAGCACTAGGAAGCTAAAGCCACTTCCACATGAGTTCAATGCCCACCCCAGAGGTGACCCACATGGCTCAGCAGACCTCTCCTGACCTGCCTGCTGCTCCCTCAGCAGTGTACTTTATCAGTCAGCCTGTTCTGCTCACCAGTCTGGCTCTGGTGAATCCTCTCACTGCCCCTGCACCTCTGGCCTGTACCGGAGTTCTGTATGCATAAACAGTGCCCAGTGAAAATAGGAATCCTGTTTTGCTGCTGTTCCATCCTATTTAGCATGTATAGTTTTCCAGAGTCCACCTCTTATTGTATGCCTGAAAATCAATCATTTCCTGTATTTCATAAGTTTTTGTTTTTCTTTTTGTGTAGAAATGGGGTACAGGCCAGAGGTGCAGTGGGTAAGAGGCTTCACCAGAGGTGGAGTGGGGAGCAGAACAGGCAGCTGTACTGAAATACACTGCTGAGGGGAACAGCAGGAGAGACAGGAGAGGTCTGCTGTGCCATGTGAGTTAGCTCTCCAGCTAACTCAAGCTTCATAGTGCTGAGACTTAACCCCTTGCACCACCAGGGAGACCCACAAACCAGATTTTCACTTTGCAAAAGTCAATACTTTCTCTTCCATTTCTAGTACAAGCATAATGTATTCAAAAGGTAATTATTTTCCTGTCTAAATTTGTACACCAACCACACTGATCCTCTTTTCTAGTGTCTAGCCATACCTCCTCACCAACTGTGCTAGGTGACTTTTCTGAATGTGCCCTGAGAAACCCCAGAGAAACTGAAGGCCTACAGCAGCTGCTTGGCAGAGAGAGAGTGACTGACCTTACCTACTCTGTCATTCTCCTCCTCTACCTCATGCTAAGGTAAGTGTTTGCCTGTGATAGATCTGTCTCCATGTGTAAGCTAGCTTCGTATGGTTGCTTTTAGTCTCCTCCTTCCTGGAGAAGTTTAGGATCAAGCTGGAATGAAGGTAACTTCACAGTGCAGTCGGTGGTTTAGTCATTAAGTTCAGTCATTAAGATAAGTATGTTTCAACTCTATTCAATTCACAACTTGAATTTATTCCATACGTGGCGTTTAATCTCCCTAGCTCTCAGTAGTATCTAGAGGTTAAAAAAAAGTGTTCTGGGAGAGAAAACTGGGGGAACAACAATCTCCTGGGAGCAACAGTGGGTGAAACTCACTCTGCTCCTCCTGGGAGCTGCTCTTACAAAACCTGACTCTGCCAAAACTGTGTCAAAAAAAAACAGCAAAATAACTTTCTACTTCAAATAGCATGAAAGTATGAATATCTAAATAAAAATAAGCCTAAACATCAAATATATGTGTCAGATATTGACCACTTATATATGTAACAATATATACCACTGTAAGCCCAAATTTGCTTTCCTTCTACTTATAGTTCATAAGAATTAAAATTTGTTCATATGTGATGAGAACCAGCGACCTCTGTATATGCCTCATTTTCCCAACTAAAAACTGGCACAGCCTATCTTCCAAAGGTTATAAGTTGACTGAAATCCATGTTTCCCGAATAGCAATATAATATTTCTATTTTCTTGTTATAAGAATTGATTGGTTTGCATCAGACTTTGTTAATACAAATATCTAGCTACTATTCTGCACGGGAGTCACAATGGCCTTTTTTTTTTTTTTTTTTTTTTTCAGTTTATCTTAAGATGTGATAACGTTACAAGGTGTAACTGCAGAGGCAAGGCTGTGCACAGAGGGGATGTTTAGTGAATGCAAAGGTTGCTATACTTCAGGGAGTACATGCTCGCTTTTTTTTTTTTATTATATTCTTTTGATATAACTATTTAAATGCAGAATACGGTCTTCATCAAATGACATTCTTTATTTAAAGTGACACATTGATGATTTTGGAGATTTTTATGTCTATTTTTTTTGTAAAGAACACTCACTCTTAGTCACAAAGAAGTTGACTGAGCCCCAAGGGAGGAATAAGGCCAAAGTCTACAGTCTGTGTCTATCATTTTGCTAAAATGATGGCCTAGTAGGTGTCAAATGTCCAAGCCTGGGACAAAGGTGGAAAAGGGAAGGGCTTCCTGAGAGATACTGGGAACTTTTAAATCCTTTCAGAAAAAGGAACCGAGTTGAGACAGCTATGATTGTCAAGTGCTATGGGACTACGTAGAACTTTTTTTCTGAGGCAGGCTGTACAGGAGGCCATGTTAAGGGCAAGCCTAACTCCTCAAACCAATATGAATAATATGGGTGTCACTGCTCATTCCCAGATTGTTTGCCATGGTCAAAAGAACCAACATTTGGCCCTCCCTTGTCCCCGCAGGCATGACAGACCTCTCTTGACCCGCCCACTGCTCCCCTCAGCAGTGTACTTCGTCTATCTGCCTGTTCTGCTCCCCACTCTGTCTCTGGTGAGCCTTTCACTGCTCCTGCACCTCTGGCCTGTACCCCAGTTTTATATGCATAAATAAATCTTTTTTTTTTTTAAGAACCAATGTTCCTCCCAAGGCCCTCTCCCAAACAGCTGTTTCTTTCTTTCCCAGTAAATTTCACTTCAGAGAACCCCCCCCCAAACATTCTTTAATAACCAAAGCCTGTAAAATGACAAATGTCCAGATCCCTGTTAGTTGTTCCTGTCCTTAGTAGGAAGTGGCGGTATTAACCTTACGCCTCTTTTCTATCCAGTCCAACATCTAGGAAACAAGGTGTCTTTTTTTTTCTTTTGGTGTTTTTTTTTTTTAAGATTTATTTATTTATGCATACAGAACTGGGGTACAGGCCAGAGGTACAGGGGTGGTGAGAGGATTCACCAGAGACAGAGTGGGGAGCAGAACAGGTCGACTGACAATACTGAGGGGCCCGGGTCGGGCATTCAGGGGAGGTCTGCCAAGCCAAGCCATGTGGGTCAACTCGGGGGCTGGGGGTTGAACTCACACTGAAGCAGCCGTGGTGAGCTTGTAGTGCTGCGTCCTAATCCGCTGCACCAGAGATGGCCTAGATGAACTTTTAATTGCAAATTCACTGAAGACTAAATATCATTTAACTTTTTTAAACCCAATTAAGGTGATAGTAATGTCTCCTACATTACTAGTCTCTCCATATTCCTGATGTTCATTAAAACAACATCTAAGCATCTCATTCTACAACTTTATAAAGACAAAAACGTGTGTGTTGTGACCATTAGCATTTAATATTATGCAAGCATATTGTACACAGAAAAAAAAACAACACTTCATCTAAAAGATAACTGCCAGGACCCTTCTTGGATGCAGACCCAGGAAGGCTGTTTTGGGGAGATAACCGGGTAAAAGTGCTAGGGTATTTGGATCAGCTTACTTTTCTCCTCCACATTCTTCCCTTCATCACCAAATTCAGAGCAGCACTGAAAAGAGAGCAGGTGTGACAAACACGTTAGGACCGAAGGGTGCCCAGAGGGTCCAGACTTCCCAGAGACATCGACCCAAGAACCAAGGGGCCCCAGACCCCTCACCATGGCCCCTTCCTAAAAGCCAAGGCAGTCTGATGCAGCTCCAAGATGGGCCACCTCCCTGGGCCACTACAGTCACTTCCCCGGGATCGCTGTAATGATTCTGCCCGACTGCCAGGCCCACGTCCACGGAGAGATCTATGTCATGTCACCGGACCGCCAGCGCCACACCATGGGGACCATCTCCCTGGTTGATCTGGGCCATCTCACCAGGATTACAAAGGCCGTCGTCACCCGCGGGCCGCGGAACTCAAGTTCCCAAAGCCCCCTCCCCGAAACAATTTCTCCTGGGAGATCCGTGCCCCCTCACCGGGCCACCAGTGTCCCCTGCCCGGGCTGTCAGGGTTGCCTCACCGGGACTGCCGGAGCCTCGCCGATCTCGCCGGCCGAGAGCATCCCGTCTCCGCTCGCGTCCGCGGCTCCATGCGCAGCCAGTGTGGCAGGTGGAGTCCGGTCTCGTCAGCGACACACACAACGAATCAGCCCGGGAGACCGTATTGCCGAGGGCCACCGCTACTTCCTCTCGCCGTCTCTCTGGTTCCTTCCTCTCGAGCCGCGCCGTGCGCGGTGGCTCCCCCTGCCGACCCCGGCCCGAGTCCGCCACGGAGAAGGAGACGGCAGCGCGCCGGCTCCCAAGGCTCTCGGGAGAAAGGGGTGGGTTCTTCTGAGCTGCGGTGAAGCCTCCACCACTTTGGGGCTCTTAGTGGTGGAGCTTGAAGTTACCCCTCCTTCTACGCCATAAGCACCGTGTGAATCATTTCAATTTCTTTTCTAGAGGGTATTCCAGGTGCTCTGAGAGCATGAGAGCGCTCTCATGGGCGTTTTGTTAATGTAGAGGGACTTTGGGGGGGGGGGGGGAATTTCCAGTGTCATTATATTGACTGTTTCCTTTAAGGATGGTCAGACTTCCAGAGATGAGCATCTTACCTGGTTGTAAACCTTCCGGGAACTGAAAGGAGGGAAAAGACTCAGATCTAATATCCACTTTATTCTGTGCAAAGAGCAAAAAATTCTTCTTTGCCAAGGAGAGGAAATGGCAATTACCAGCAAGCAAAAGGACCTAAAGATTCTTCAACTTCAAAAACAAATATGACAGATGGTACCACAGAGACTAAACGAACGGGAAAAACAGGGGACTGGTAAGTAACCCTTAGAGAAAACAGGAACCGTTTGGTGAGGAAAAAAAATATATGTATGTTTTGCCTATGGAACAATCTAAAGGCCAAAGAAATGTGAAAGTTCTTTCCTCCCTACACATTTGTAATAAATTAGGACACAATCTCAGAAGTTATGCACAGGAACAAAACTTAAGAGGTTTGTATTGAATTTTTACAGCCCAATGGTGGTTAAAAAAAATATTTGCAATTGCTGTCATTAGGGCATTAACGAATGAATTAACCATAATCCCCACATGGGATTGTACATTCATTAGGGACCAAAACCTATCCAAGGCACTTATCAAGGTGAATAATATCACAGGCGGGCAGTTGGTATTTAGAAAGTAACTATAGAAAGTTACCATTTTGAACGAATTATCTGTACTTAACCAGATACCCATGTGTAAACCTAGATTTTAAAAACATGCCTGCAGCTGCCACAAAAAAATTTTTTAAAAAGAATTACCATATGATACAGTGATTCTGAATAAATCCTGAGAAGAACTGAAAGCAAGTTCTCAAAGAAATGTTTGTACACCCATGTTCATAGAAATATTAGTCACAATAGCTAAAAGATGAAAGTAATTCAAATAATAATGGGTACACACACAAAAATGGTGTGCACATATAACAGCATATAATTTAGGCTTGAAAGGGATGGGAACAAGCTACGGCATGGATGAACCTTGAGGACATTATGCTAAGTGAAATGAGCCAGTCACAAAAGAATATATGCTGTGTGAGTCCATTTGTGTGAATTAACTAGAATTGTGAAATTCATAGAAACAGAAAGTAGAATGATGCTTGCCAGGACCTAGGAGGAGGTGAAGGGTAGTTATTATTTAATGGGTACAGAGGTAAGATGAAAAGAATACCGGAGATGGGTGGTGATGGTTGCATCGCAATGTGAATATACCTAATGTCACTAAACTGTACACTTACACAGGGCTAATTAGTCAATTTTATATTTATGTGGTCATACTGCCATATAATCAATATAAGGATTTGGAATTTTCGACTCCAGGTGTTCGGCAGAACATCAAATGTGCAAAAGCTATTCCAGTCTTTACTTCTTTTAGCACATAGCAAGAAGAGTTAATTTTACTTTTCCTTACATGGAAGCACAAACTTATAACCCACTTGAAGTGAATTTAATTGGGGGAGCCATCAAGCAGGAGTAAGTAGAAGTGGGAAAATGGTGCTCTTGGATTCACTGCATTGGAAGAAATTACAAATTGAACAATATAGCCCCTAAAGTGAGTCTCTTCCTTAAATTAACTGCGAGGTGGAGAGCAAAAAAAAGGATTAACTATGTGAACAAGACATTAAAAAGCATTCGCCCTAGCAGTCCTAAAGACTCAAAAGCCCTAAAAGTCCCTCTGGTACATAAGAAAGTCACTCTTCTTTGTTGAACCCGACGCTGGGAGGGCTGTAGCCGAGAAGCCACCATGCGCTCCCACGGCCACCGGCGAGGCCACCACTGTAGGCGGCGGGCCGAGGGCCGCCTGGGGCCCTGCGCAGCATCGCACGCGCGGCCTCCAGCACTCTCGGCCGGGGGCCGGGC